AGATGCAAGGCAAGTAACAAATGAGCTTACACGCTTCTGATGGATCTTTTCTGGAAAACGGAAATGGCGGGGATACATCCAGCGGGGGAGAAAGCAAATTTAATTATAACTATTATTTTACATATTTGGTCTGGTTAAATCGTCTAACCTACGGATACCTAATCGTCGATATTGCCCCGCGATGCCCCTCCTTCACACAAAGCTCAAATATATCATATATCAATCACTGCCTTTCTTATTGTCTATTTTCCAGAAACAGCAGATTTGACCGAAACTCTCACTGGCCCCGTGTTGCTCATTCAAGTAAAGTAGTAGTCATGGGAGCCCAACAATCCTCAGAAACCTCCAATGCTGGTGGCCCAGCTCCCGTCGCAAAAACTTGTTACTACGAACTGCTCAGTGTGGAGCGTTCTGCTACAGACGACGAGTAACTCTCTCCGAACATGCCCCTCTATGTTGTCTTCCTACTGACCCTTTCTTGACTAGGATCAAACGAGCTTACCGCAGAAAAGCACTCGAGCTTCATCCTGATCGCAACATCAATGATGTCGAGACCGCCACACGCCGCTTTGCCGAAGTTCAAACCGCTTACGAGATCCTGTCTGACCCTCAAGAGAGAGCTTGGTACGATGCACACCGCGATGCCATCCTCAGTGGAAGAGACGGCGACGATGACGGCCAACCTACTACGTTCCGCAATGTGCGACTCACATCCGCTGAGGAGATCATGGGCCTAATCCGCAAGTTCAACGCTGCGGTACCCTTCGATGACGAGCCCACTGGTTTTTACGGAATCTGCAGGGAAACTTTTGAACACTTGGCCATGGAAGAGGAGGCTGCTGCCGACAACGACGATCTCGATGTCCGGGACTACCCAACTTTTGGATCCTCTGACGATGACTACGAGGATGTTGTGAAACCATTTTACACCGCGTGGACTGGCTTCGCAACCGTCAAGTCGTTCGCATGGAAGGATAAATACCGACTTTCCGATGCCCCCGATCGCCGTGTCCGCCGTTTGATGGAGAAGGAGAACAAGAAGATGCGGGAGGACGCCATTCGCGAGTTCAATGATGCTGTCAACTTCCTCGTCGGCTTCGTGCGCAAACGAGACCCCAGATATCTACCCAATTCGCAGACCCAAGAAGAGCGCCAGGCTTCCCTGCGAAATGCTGCTGCTGCCCAGGCCGCTCGATCGCGTGCTGCGAACCAGGAACGCATGGCATCATTCGAGGTTCCCGAATGGGCCCAGGCTCGATCCGACGACAATGGAGCAGAAGGGGGGTTTTCAGAATCTGAAGAGGATTCAGAGGTTGAGATTCTGGAGTGTGTCGTATGTAACAAGTCGTTCAAAAGCGAGAAGCAGCTTGAGGCGCACGAGAAGAGCAAGAAGCACACCAAGGCTGTTCAACAACTGCGTCGGCAGATGAAGCGTGAAGGTGCTGAGTTGGAGCTTGATGAAGTATCATCACCACATGAGGCACATGCGAACAGGCAAGAAGATGCTGCAGCACAGAAATACAATGTTACAGAGGAGCCGCTTGGTTCGACTCAGGGTGAAGCTGTATCACCGTCTCCAGCGTATTCGTCACTTGCCACGACACCTACTGAGTCTGCAGACGCATCAGACGACACCGACTACGCACCCAGGGATGTTGTTGAGGAGAGAATAGCTTCAGCCAGCAAACCCAAAACTACTAGCGATGTTACTAATGAAGACGATGAATTGTCAGCATCAGTGCAGGATCTGTCGGTTGATGAGCGTGCGCAGGGCAAGAAGGTCGGCAAGGCTAAGGCCAAACGCGCCAAGAAAGCTGCGGCTGCACAGTCGCAGAAAGAAGAAGAAGTACGTATGTTGATTAACGATCATCTTTGTGTTAAGCTGACAAAAGTTCATAGCCACGGTGCGGAGTTTGTGGGGAGACTTTTACTTCTAGAACCAGGCTGTTCGTCCATATTCGAGAGGAAGGACATGCAGAACTAAAATCAGTGACTGGTGGAGGCAAGAAGAAGAGGTGATTGAGGACCCATCGCATCCGATATGCATATTACATTCAACCATGTCACCATTCGGCAAGTGATAACAAACAACAGGCAGCGTGTGAAGAACGCGTTGTATCACACAGCCTCAACCGACAAAAATTGTGGTAAAGAGGGTCATTCGAATCGATTTCAATGTCTATCCCGACGTAACGCCTGGTCCTCCTGCCAATCATTATGGGTTGCAGGAAATTACAGCCAAAATCAAAAACAAAACAACGCCGGGCCCAATAACCGGTTTAGGCCTCCTGAATGGTATCCGTATCATCGTCACTTAGCGTCTCAACTTCGTCAATTGCGCCTTGGCGGCCCTCGCTTGAGCCTCCGTGGACTGCGTTTTGCTGCGCCACATGGATAATCGACTTGCCTTGGACGTGCTTAACGCTACGCTTCCAGTCCTGCCAGTCCTCCTCGCTCCGAATCAGAAAACCTATTAGCATACTGGGATCCATCTCGCGGACATGGATGCGGCGGAGTCGGGCAGTATGACACGATTCTATCTCTTCGGTGGTGTAGTCCATCGGGTTCTCGTGGTATGGGAGTGCGGGCCTTGTGTGGTGAGGATCAAGGTAGAATAGGAAGGAACCTTGCGAGCCGATGAAGTAATGGGATGAGGATGGACGGCCTCTGCGCATGGTCAGTATTATAGGTATGCGAAGAGTGGCAAGTAGTACTCACCCTGCGATACCAACGGATTGCGGCATCTGAAGAGCTGCAATCAAAGCTTCCCAGTAGACGGGAGTTATCTTATCTAGTCCCAGCCGAGTTCCTACCAATACAAGCGTAGGGTGGAAGGCTTCGCCGGTTGGCTTTGCAATTTTCATAAAGTCATCTTCGTAGACATCAGGCCCATCGCCAGTGGAGTATACCCTGATTGAGGGCTCATGTGAGTTCGCCAATGCTCTTCAAGTTATGTGTTAGTACGAATATCGCGTGTAACAGTGGTGAGAACTTGAACGTACTGGATACAGCGGGCTGTTGCTGATGGTCCAAACCATTCACCCGGATACTTGCCACACGCGCTGGCACCATGTCGGACGAAACTGTGGATTGAGTATGGAGCTCTTGGATCGTCGGCAAAATCTTTGAGGATTCGACATTCTTCTTCTAGTGATTGTCCCTGCCGCCAGTCTGTACGATGTCAGGCATGTGATATAGTCTAGTGTGGTGGGCGCTTTGACTTACCTCTCCCCAAGCGAACGAGTGCGATGGTGTTTGCAAGTAAACTTTGACCAGACCGAATCATGCATCCCCACCCGCTGTCTGATGAGAATGGGCTCTGGTCCCCTAGTTGGCTCTTAAGTCTCATAGACAGTGACAGTGAAGATGTGGCTTGGGGGTTCGTGGAGCGAGGAATAGGTTCGAACTCGGATCTGTAAGTCATCCATATCCTTGATTCAAAATCGGTTATGAAGCCAGATGGCCATCCACCGTCATTCAACTGGTCGTCATATGCCAGTGACGATGAGAAACTGCTCGATATTGATTCCGGTGGGGTTTCTGGTGCATTTGTCGGTATGTTGGGTGATCGAGCCGAATCCTGATCTTCGGTGTCCGACTTGGGTGCTGGGGGCGGCGTCTGGGGACTTTGTTCATCGGATCTTGTGTTTTTCTTATCGCTTAGCTTGTAGGAGCGTCCAAGACACCAGACTGGGTGATCGTGGGCAACATCGTTGGTAGGTTCCGGATCCCAAAACATCTGTACGATCCGTCGATAACGTCCGAGGTCGACATTGGCCATGGCGTTCTCCATGTTGATAGACATGGATCTCAAGCTTTCATTTGTTTATCCGTTCCTTGTAGAATCTGAGGAACTTGGGAACGAGATACAATAAAAAATGTAATATGAGTGCCTCAACAAGGAGGCAACATGAAGCTTCAGGTAGAATAGAAGGCAGCGGACGGGAAACGGGCAGATGGGATCCTGGCTATGGGTGAGCTTTGGCCTTAGCCTGGCAGTGGAGAGTCAGCTGGGGCCGGCGGGCGGCGGGCGGCGGGGGAGAGACAACCCAGTAGCTTGTGACTCGCACCCGGAGGCCAGCCCGTGAGAAGCGCCTGAGGTGGACTTCGGTTCCAGTGGAGCCAATACAAGCTGTAGGTACTCGATATGTACCAACACACACGATAAGGTACCGATGGGATTCAGTGCACGGGCCATCCGTGACACGTCTCGACGTCAGACTAGATATCCGTTGAATTGCTCGAGTTAAGTTCATATGGCCCTGTAGTTAATAGCAATGCTCGAAGTTTTCGTGCTTCTGTATTTACGTTCTCTGGTTACACGTATATGTACGCGTTTTTCTGCACTTTCCTCTCTTCTTATCAATGTGGGGTTGTGTACGTGTTTTGCTGGAAAGTCTACCTACGAGACAATTCATCATGTTGTGGTTTTAACGAAATATTGGGTAAAACACGACAATGTTAGTCTTCAACATACAGGCACCTCAATATGCTCAATAAACAAAGTCTAGACACTTAAGATATAAGCAAAACCATGCTAATATGCTTAAAAGTTTCCTTTACAACTACTTTCGGTCGAAAATTACAGATGTCCAGTTTTCGACATTGCTTTATGTTCCCACCCTATACCCAAAAATGGATGACTGTTAAAATGGACGGTACGTACCGCGACTGCCTGGCTTGCCTCATGCCTGCCTGTAAGCTTTACCGCAAACGCCCAAGCGGACCCACCAATCAATACTGCCCGGCTTTTTTTCTGCTTCCCCCAAAGCTTGCCGAGAGGAACTTGTTTGTGAGTGGAACATCGCGAATCATTGTCCGAGCTTGTCTCATTCGTGTGTGGTTTCGTTTTTCCCTCCTGACCTCCAGTGCCTTCTAAATATCTCCACCTCCATAATACAACTTCGAACAACAACAATAACAACCACCCGCGATCCTCCCCGTCGCATCCCCTCCTCTCTCCCCCCGGCCCTCGACAATCCCTCTCACAGTCCTTCAAAATGCTCTCAAGAAGTGTAGCCACCGCCGCCCGCATGGTGCCCGCCACCAGGGCGCTGAGGCCCCGTTCGCACCCGCTCGTCATGCTTCCCTTCATGATGCAGACCGTTCGCACCTACGCCGATTCCGTCATCAAAGTTCCTCAGATGGCCGAGTCCATTTCCGAGGGTACTCTCAAGCAGTTTTCCAAGAGCATTGGGGATTATGTGGAGCAAGATGAGGAGATCGCTACCATCGAGACCGACAAGGTATGCATGCCGTCATAGCAATTTTGAGAACTTTGACCAGGACAGCCTTACTAAAACATCGTCCCCAGATTGACGTTGCTGTCAACGCTACCGAGTCTGGTACCATCAAGGAGTTCCTCGTTGCTGAGGAGGACACAGTTACTGTCGGACAAGATCTTGTTCGAATTGAGCTTGGAGGCGCACCATCCGGCGACAAGAAGGAGACCCCCAAAGAAGAGTCCAAGGAGCAGCCCCAGAAGTCCGAGTCTGAATCAAAATCCGAATCAAAACCTGAGCCCAAGCAGGAATCCGCTCCTGAGCCTAAGAAGGAGTCTGCTCCTGCTCCCAGCAAGCCCGAGCCTCCCCGACAGGCCGAGAAGAAGGACTCTAAGTCACAGTCTGCCGCTTCCAGCGTTCCCTCTATGGGTAACAGAGAAGAGCGCCGTGTAAGTTGCTGCATGCCATGATATTGGTATTTTTGAATCCAGTCCTCGGGTACTAAATAACTGTCTTTCAGGTCAAGATGAACCGTATGCGCCTTCGAATTGCCGAGCGTCTCAAGCAGTCCCAAAACACGGCTGCTTCCCTGACCACTTTCAACGAGGTTGACATGTCCAACATCATGGAGTTCCGCAAGCTCTACAAGGAGGATGTTCTCAAGAAGACTGGCGTCAAGCTTGGTTTCATGAGTGCTTTCTCTCGAGCCTGCGTTCTTGCTATGCGCGATCTCCCCGCCGTCAACGCCTCCATTGAGGGACCCAACGGCGGTGACACCATCGTCTACCGCGACTACGTCGATATCAGCGTGGCTGTCGCTACCGAGAAGGGCCTCGTTACCCCTGTCGTCCGAAATGTCGAGTCTATGGACATGATTGGTATTGAGCAATCAATTGCCGATATGGGCAAGAAGGTCGGTCGCAATTCTGGCACGCCCGCAAGTAGACTGGTGACTGACCATGCGTTTACAGGCTCGTGACAACAAGCTTACTATCGAAGACATGGCTGGTGGCACCTTCACCATCAGCAACGGCGGTGTTTTCGGGTCTCTCATGGGCACACCCATCATCAACCTCCCCCAGAGTGCTGTTCTTGGCCTCCACGCTATCAAAGAGCGCCCCGTTGTCGTGAACGGCAAGATCGAGATTCGACCCATGATGTACCTTGCTCTTACTTACGACCACCGTCTGCTGGACGGCCGGGAGGCTGTGCAGTTCCTTGTTAAGGTGAAGGAGTACATTGAGGATCCCCGACGGATGCTCCTGTAAAAGACGTCATTGAATGTCAAGCTACTTAATACCATATAGCATGTAGCCAATAGTCCTGCCGAGGAAATTCGAGGCGCCTTGGCTATCATCTATTGTATACTACCTAAACAAAGATAAATTATGGAGCATGCACGTTCTCTTGCCAATGTCGATAAACATGGATTTCATTCATAGTGGTATATCCTGGTTGCTCTTGTATGGATGGAGAACCTAGCCTAACGAAATTGAAGCGTGCCTTGTTTTGGCTTAGTCTTTTGTAGTTATCGTAGGACCTTATGACCCAGCCTTCTCTGTAGTTGTTTGTTTTACCACGCTCGGATCAGAGCAATTGAGACCATGTCAGCCCCCGTCAGCGCTCTTTTTGTCATTGACATCCAGAAGGATCTGGCATCCGATGACAAGACCGAAGTCCCCCATGCTGAACGCATACGCGATGCCGGAGAACAAATACTTGAGGTTGCAAGAGGTATCGCTGCCGATCCGAAACCCATCATACTTTTTGTTCAGCATGAAGAATCGCCCGAGAGTGGTCCTCTTGTAAAGGGTAGCAAGCCGTGGGAGTTGGTCTTCGAAAACGACCCGAACAATACAAGAGAGTTACTCGTGTCAAAAGTTACACGTGAGATTGCTGCATGCTCATTCGTTGTTCATTTCTAAATGTACATAGGAGACACTTTCAAATCAAATCCTGACTTGGCTGGTCTTCTCAGGTCGAAGGGCATTCAACACATTGTTGTATTTGGCATACAGAGTGAGTGTTGTGTGCTGGAAACTTGCAAGGGCACTCTGGAAGCTGGTTTCCGAGTCACGCTGCTTCAAGGTGCTCACTCGACTTATGACACCGAGAACAAAAAAGCCGTTCAAATCGAGCAGGATGTTGAAAACGAACTCAAGGCTCTAGGTGCTTCAGTGACTCCATGGCAAACTGCTATCTGCCTCCCGCCTGCAACCTGCATCACGGCTTCTTTCAATGACACTTATCTAGGACACATAGCCCCACTTTATTTTCCGAACCAATCGATAGACCAGCGGCAACACAAAGTCCGCCGCGGGGTGACTCGTTTTCTTTGCCATCGACAACGATCTGTAATAGCTTTCTCTCACCCACATCACCGCTTTGTTTTCATGGTGCACAACTACTATAAAATCTCAATTGGACTGCTATATCGGACTACTCTCATCATGAAGGCTACCCCTCCCTGATCTTGCCATGGCAAAGAACAAGAGGGGAGCTCCCGCTTTCCGTGGCGCAAAGAACGCCAGGGGAGGACGAGGAGGTAGGGGAACTTTTCGTGGAGGTGGGAGCTATTCATCAACGCCACCCCGAGTTAATTTTGCCAGAGAAGAACCTGGTACGGATTGCCTTGATGCAAAATGCGCAAATGTTAAAGTGCTTGGACGCTGACCTGATCTATTATAGCTGGATTTACGCTTGCCGACGAAGCTCGCCAGACGTCACAGCATGACCATTCCACTTGGGGGAATTCCAGTCTACGACTGCGACCAGTCACTTTTGTTAGCGCTGGACCTACCGAACCTTTGAAGCTCTTGGACGCGATTGTTGACCAAGCCGACAAGGAAGATGATCAGGCCGACGAACAGAGCTTTGAAGAATCGACCGATGAGGTTGACTTTATAGGCCCTGATGACCTTGAGGAAGCCATCCAAGCCGAGACTGCACCCGAAGAGAGCGTACAACAGGAAGTACCATTCTTCTTTGATCTCACAGGAGACCAGTTGCAAAAGAAGAAGGATCCCCCCCCCGTGGAGATACCGGATAGACCATCGTCGAGGAGCAGCACCTCGAGCGAGGAAGTGCTTCTTTTCAAGGGCCGAGGTGCGCAGAGAAACGTACAATCTGTGCCTGATATCGATATGGTGCAGATGCAGACTGAAATCCGTGTCGTCGAGCAGGCCATCATCACTGAGCCATCCCATTCACGAAAACCACCAGCATCGGAACTGCAAACGGAACCAACCCGCTGTAAAAACCCAAGCAAAATGGAGAAAAAACAGAAGAAGCGTGAGAGACGCAACGCTAAAACTAAATTTGATGACGAGGAGGATGCCATTCTTGCCGATTACATCGCCAACCTCAAGGAAAACACCGAGGTTGATGATTACTTCAAGGAACTACTAGAACGTGGAAGACACTCGGACGATAGTGGCGTATCCGAGTCAGCGAACGCTGCAGGAGACGATACTGATGATAACACGGACGATCCTCAAGCGACCAACGGAGATGAGGTTCCCAGCGAGATCGATGATGAGACACTCGCAAGACTGATAGCCGGTCAGCAGCTTGGCCAAGATCTGGGTATGGAGGATGTACATTTCGGAGACTCTTCGAGCGACTCCGACTTCGACTCCACTGGCAAGAGGACGAAACAGCACCAGGAATTCGACGATGATTTTGATTTGATGGATTGGGACCGCCCCAGCCTGCGTTGGCGCAAAGGCAAAGGCGCTCGAGCTCAGATCAGCTTCAACATGTCCGATTCCGAACTGGAAGCATCTCTCCAAGCCAGCTGGAAGAGCGATCGCCTTAAGAAATCCGAACGAAAGAAACAGAGAGAGGAAATGCGTGCCCTTGGCATGCTAGGCAAAAAAGACCCTGACGATCTGCGGGTCAAATATCCAGATGGAATGAACATGGATCAAATCGCAGATGAGCTACAAACATTCCTGATGGGTTCCGACGAACAGTGAGTTATCATCAAGTTCTTTATGAATTTTGATTGACTAGTTACAGACTTAATTTCCCCCCTATGGATAACAATGCGCGCAAGATGATCCATGAGCTGGCGAGCAAATTCAAGCTCAAGTCTAAGTCAATAGGAAAAGGCGACCAACGAAGACCAACACTTCATCGAACAAAGCGCACGCCTCCCTACGTCCCAGCAACATTTGATCAAGCTCTCAAGCGCGTCAACCGCAAGTATCTTCCTCGGTCGGACAAGAAGGGCAAGAAAGGTAATCGCTTGCCGCCGGCTCGTGGTGGCACTTCCGTCGCGGCCGCTACATATCAAGATGGTGAGGTGGTTGGTGCTTCAGCGCCAGAATTAGGCATCGAGAATCGTGGAAGAGCGATGTTGGAGAAGATGGGCTGGAGCATGGGAACTGCGCTCGGGGCCTCCAACAACAAGGGCATCATGCAACCTGTCACTCATACAATGAAGCGCTCAAAAGCTGGACTGGGATAGAAGTTTGTCAAAATGCTTAACACGGCACTTCAAGGAGTTGGAGGGATGCAATGCAATAAACTGTAGAGATTAGAAACCAGTGACATCAGGCAAGGCACTCATGTAACAGTAAAAGGATGGGGACACAAAGCTTATGTGCACGAATTCATTTGATCGAGACCCTATTCTCGATGTTTATTGTACAACCGCGAACCCCGTTGCCCGTGTGTGAAGACATTGCCCCCAGGAAATAAAACAAAACCATCCGTAACGCATTATGAGGCCCCCAAAACAGGGCTGGATCCCCGTGAAACCTCAGACTCATGACACCCTGATGCCACGCGTGAAAAACCAAATGCCCAAAACAAATCAAGCCATCAAAGCACTTATTTCGTCGAGGAAGAGTACTTGGTGACGGCCTTGGTACCCTCAGAGACGGCGTGCTTGGCAAGCTCACCGGGCAGGATGAGACGGACAGAGGTCTGGATCTCTCGGGAAGAGATGGTGGACTTCTTGTTGTAGGCGGCAAGCTTGGAAGCCTCAGAAGCGACGCGCTCGAAGATGTCTGGACCATGAGTCAGATCAAGTTGGATCAAAGAAGCAGATGAAGCGACATACCGTTGACAAAAGAGTTCAGGATGGACATGGCACGGTTGGAGATACCAGTGTCGGGGTGGACCTGCTTGAGGACTGGTGATGCAAGTTAGTAAACGCGTTACCAAAACAAGGCGCGACAAGGCGCGATTGAGACGGGAATTGGAACTCACCCTTGTAGATGTAAGAAGAGTAGGTCTCCTTGCGGGTCTTGGAGCGCTTCTTCTTGTCACCAGAGGCGGCAGTCTTCTTGCCAGCATCCTTCTTCTCAGGAGCCTTGGAGGCAGTAGCGGGAGCCTTGGAGGCGGGCTTCTTGTCAGCAGCCTTGGGAGCCATTTCGAAAGATGAAAAAGAGGTTTGAAAAAAGTGTGTTGGTTGGTTGTGTCGGTTGAGTAAAAACTCGTGCGTTGAGTAAGTTGTTGTAAGGCGAGAAGATGCTGTTGTAGATGGGAAGTTGATGGCGAGAAGAGAAGATCGGGGAGTGGGTTGGGTTTTTGTAGCTGGCGCGTTGTCGGTGTTAGCGGGTTACTGATTGCCTGGGGGGCGTGCGCACGCGTGCTTGCTTCAATTGCGCGGGCCTGCTTAGCGGCTGGTGGAGGTGATCTTGGGAGGGGGACCTGCCAGGCCAGCCCCTCTTTTCTGTTGCTGCTGGTGAAATAAAAATTGGGTGACGGTTCTTTTTTTTGATTGGCTCCGCGCACTCACAATCACGCTGTAAGCTTCACAAGGTCGGACCCCCCACAGCATCCTCGTTTCCGTCATTGTTTGATGGGACCATCCATTTCCATTTCCATTTCCATTCTCATTTTCGCGTCGTGGTCTCTTTGCTTCTCCTCTTTACCTAATCACCTCCCATCTGCCGCGTCTCAGCCCGGGTCATTCTTCTCATGCTATTTGACTTCTTTCCTTTTACATACCACTTCTGCTCATAGCATAGGTACTTTTATCCAAAAATATGTTACTTGAATCCATCATGTTCATCTCGTAGATCCCGTTCAAGATGTCGCGATGACTCCAAATATGCCCGATTTCTGACGTGACAGCTTCGGAGACCCGTAATGAGTGTAAATTTTATGTATAAATTGAGCTGCATACCGATCTAGGTCCCTGAATACGCCCAGAACCGTTCGAGCATCCCTGCCTACACGTCCGTCTTTCTCATCAACGCGTCCGTTCCGTTATGAAGGAAGGCTCCGGACTGTGGCCCGTCACGGCCGCAATGCAACGGCAGCCCATCGCCATTCCGTGTCGGTCGTCGTGATTCCTGAGGAGACCGTCCCGGCTTCTCTCCACATCTGCATCCATTTGAGTCCCGAGACGGGGATCTATAGGGCTGCTGGCTCCGTCGTGACCGGTTCCTGACGGATCTCAAAGAGATCTGAAATTGAAAACCCGGGGCGTTTTGATTTGTGGACCGTTCACATATGCAATATACGTCACAGTACCTGAATCTGGGGTTCATGGAGTCAAATTGAGGCTTAAATCTATCTCCGAGTACTATATTTATATGTAAAGAGGAAAAAATCGAAGTTGTATACACCTTTCAAAGGTGTATATGGGTCAAATCAAAATGGAAAAAAGACTCAAGATATGCCTTGGTATGAGCAAGATGGATCAAACCTCACAAAATAAAAAAAAAAATCCAACCCAAAATGGGCAAAAACCAGACCGAGTTGGAACAACTTCATCAAACAGGCCAGGTGGAGGAATCAAGTCCAAAAAATCACGCAAACGAGAGCGCGACCGAGCAACAACAGAGTAACCGGACCAGACCCGTTCAAACGAGATGAGCTGGACCTCGCAAAAGTTGGCAAATGTGGGAGGCCGAAGGTATCGGAAAACTGCAGTGACTTTGACTGATTGTGAACGAGTGTCTAACGTGCCCTCCAATCATCAAATCGCTCCGCGCACAGCAAAAAAATGCAGACAGGAGGAAAAATGAAGATGGAAGACGAAAAAGCTTGCGGTGCGGCCAAGGTAAGAGGGGAAAGCAGAATAACGCGCAAGTGATCTTGGTTGGAGGACATAACATAGAAAATCGGGTTTATTATTTCGCCGGGGGACATTTTAGTGGGCCATGGACCACTGACCAGTAACAAGTGTTACAGGCGCGCCAGGGGTGTCTGATTTTATTTTTTAATGCGTCGAGGAGCTTGGTTTCCCAATTTCGCCTAATGCGGCTAGCTCCAAATCGCGTTGCCAGCTGCAAGTGAGTGATCTGGGATCAGAGCTCCCGACGCGCGAAAAGTACTTAACCTCTACGTCCCCCGCCAACGTTATCTCTTCCACTTCTCATCAACCAATTGTCATCACAACTACTCTCTTCGACTCTTCCATCCATCTCAACAAAGTCTTTCAGACTCATCAATCACTTCTTTTCAATACACCACCCCAAACCACCTAATCTTCAAAATGACTGGCGGCGGAAAGTCTGGCGGCAAGGCCTCTGGTTCCAAGAACGCGCAATCGTAAGTCTTTCCTCTTCGCCCACTTTGACGCGCCTTTTCGATCGCGTCTTTCACTTCACTTGATCTCAAGCTAACACTACTCTTCAGGCGATCTTCCAAGGCTGGTCTCGCGTTCCCTGTTGGTCGTGTCCACCGTCTGCTCCGAAAGGGCAACTACGCTCAGCGTGTCGGTGCCGGTGCTCCCGTCTACCTCGCTGCTGTTCTCGAGTATCTCGCTGCCGAAATCCTTGAGTTGGCCGGTAACGCTGCCCGTGACAACAAGAAGACCCGTATCATTCCCCGTCATCTCCAGCTTGCCATCCGAAACGACGAGGAGTTGAACAAGCTTCTGGGTCACGTCACCATTGCCCAGGGTGGCGTTCTCCCTAACATCCACCAGAGTATGTTCCCCAATCTTCTCCATCAAATTGCATCACCACTAACATCTCCCCAGACCTTCTGCCCAAGAAGACGGGTAAGACTGGCAAGAACGCTAGCCAGGAGCTGTAAATGGTTCATTTGGTTGTTTTTCCATGCGATGGCTGGTTGTTTGGGTTGTCATGACAAAGGGGTCACGGTTTAAGGGTTCATACGGTTGTTTTTCATCAGTTTATTCGCGCGTTAGGGTTGTACAATAATCCCCCACGGCTATGGTCATGAAACAAGAATACTTCAAAGATCTACATCGCCGCCTCTTGGTCTTGATGTGAAATCATTTGCCTCGACACGTTCATGTCTTGCTCTCGCTGCCCTGAACTCAGCAAGTCCGCTGTTTGCAACTGTCATTACCCTGTGTTCCGCATTCAACTATCGCTTCCAAACATAGCCATTTCCTTGGTGTGATTAGCTTTCTAACTAACATGCACTTCGAAAAGATTCCTGGTGCTCGTAGAGTGTCCGTAAGTGCTGATTCTTGTGGTCAAATCTCGACCTCGTTCGCACTGATACGGTACTTGAATGACCAAACTCATTTGATTCATGCTGCAGCCCTCTCCTCGAGCCCATCTGTATCCTCTTCTATGTACAAATATGCCTCGTACAGCCCGAATAATCCAGTCGAGTTTTTAGTGTCGGTTGACAGGGTGTGGGGGAGCTATTCACCTATCAGTTTCCATATTATTGATGGCTGGGTGCCACCGGATAAGTACTCACGGTCAAGAACAGGCGAAGGGAGGTTTCGCTCAAACTTGGAGCCTGTGGCGATATCATTAGCATTCTGTACCTGGCGACCCTTGCCATACGTTGGAGAGATATACCTCCGGGGGCTGTCGGGGGAGTATAAGGGTCGGGGTGCTTCCAACTCTCTAGCAGCTTCTCGGTCTCGGTCAATAGGGCCTGTGCATCGGAATCAGCATCGGGATTATCCTTCAGTCGCCAATTGGTGACAAACCCTTTGATGCCGGGGATCGGTGACATTGCGGTTGGCCTCGAATAGTGAGCGAATATACATAGCCTGGCCACGCCACAGGTGTCGATGGACGGCCCAATCTAGCGCCAGCTTCAATGAGCGGCGGTAGAGGGATCTGAATACGATGACAGTCAGCGCACGGAGCTCGATGAATCGGCAATCGCTGGGCCGGCGGTTCGGGAGGAGGTAAAGATTACTGACAAGGCAGCTCGTCGCGTCGACATGATTTGTGAGGTAGTGAGGGTACGCGTGACCGGGCCCAGTCGAGAAAGGCTCCTCGCTATCGGGCAATTGGTCGGTTTTCGCGGGGATATCTGCCGTCTGGCGTTCGCTCGAGGGTTTCGTTGTTATGCTGGGTGTCTCGGTCGAGGTTGGAATACTACGAAGAATGTCGACAATGACGGCAAAGATTTGGTGCCTTGTTGCCTCGTTCCGATGAATAGCCGATCAGCTCGGCCTACCCTGTACTTTGAGACAATGTCGATTCAATGCATTAATAGTTCGACAGAGGCTTCTTGAACCAGTCAGACGGCCTTGTTAGGGCCATTGTGTGTTAATTATCTTAATATACTCAGTTAAAAATGAGATCAGTTCAAGCTGACGGTTAGATTTTACTGTCTTAATACAGTTTCTTAAAATAACATACATATAACTAGAAAGTACTAGTACTTAACTAAAGTTAGGACTAGATATTAAGCTTGGCTACCATGTCCGTGGTATTAAAAAACAATATTAAGAGAAAGAAAGTAAGTAAAAATTAGTATTCTTTTAGTAAAGTAAATAATTATTACTATATAAGTTATTTAAATAGTATTAAAGACAGCCTAGTATAATGTAATTAAAGTATATAGACTAATATTTAGATTAGTTTTATTTAACCTTTTATTAGTTACTCTTAAGCTACTAGAAGGAGGTATATAGCTTCGAGCTAAAACTAAGAAAATAGCCACGCCACAGATCGTATATTAAGCCATACTCATAGTAGGTTAGCTAGGTACCTATTTTACCTAAGGTAGCTTAAAGATATAACTTACACACTCTAGTAATAACTAACTATATACATTATAGTAAGACTACTGGTAATAATATTAAGTAGGTACTTAAGCCCAGAGATGTTTTCCCTATTAGTTACTATAGTGTGTCTAGTGAAAGATTAGCTAAGCTAGGTATTGTGTCTATTGGCGTTATATAAAGGCGTGAGACGTGACTAAGTTTATGGAATCTCGAATCCAGCAGCAATAGACTATACCAGGAGCAACAACAAAGTAATAAGTAAGTCCACTTATTTAAGCTAACATGGAACTGAATGAGTAGTTTACTGGCGTCCTACAGTGCACTGCACTAGATATATGCTAAGTTAGCTAATGCAGAGTGGATAATGGAATGTAAGAATTTGTTTATACTAATATAGAAAGTTTTAACTTCCTATTTAATTCATTTAGTATAAAAAAGAATGGGTATATTTAGTATGTAGCGGAATGTTACTTACAGAGCAATGCCACCCAAACGTGATTTATGACTGGGACCTAAACAAACAGCATACTGACAACTGCTTCACCACTATGCCGCAACAATTGTGTGGTCAGTCGAAAGCCAGAGAATACGCAGTGACATGGAGCTATATATGATTAAATGAGGGCGAATACGCAGCGCTGTACCTAGGGCGACAGCGAAACCTGCGAAGCACAGAAGGCCTCTGGATGTGAGAACAGAAGAACAGCTTCACCTATATGCTACCAGGGTGGCCCAGTCATACTGATGGATTGTTTACCTGAAATTGTGAGTTTGCTTGCATGTCTCTGTGTCTTGGGTCCAGCTAACGGCTAAGGGTGAACACCGCAGGGTAAGCTTTTTAAGTCAAGATCAGTACAATCATACTCCCTGGAGGCCTTATGCAGCCCAGTATCCAGGTTGTATTGAGAGTCGTACTGAACTATCGATGAAAGGCTTGGTGCTATATATGGAATTGGCACACATCTCTATACCGCGGATGAATGATGAAGAAGCCAGACTGAATGTAGGGCCACAAAGACGTGAACGGACAGCATGAGCTTATAATAATACTGTTGCAGACAGTGACACAATTCTCGAGAGTTGCGGAAAAGACGGTTCTCAGAGTGCAGTGTCTAAGTATACTTACGCCGCTAATGTAGCTGGCACGGAAGACTTTGGCATTACTTGGGAGTGCTGGCACTTAACGATTTGTATTGCAATAGCGGCCTATTCTGCATCAGGTACTCAGGTACTTAATTGCTGCAAATTCTGTATTGGTTTTAGATTTATACTTAGATATAGCCTGAAAAAAAGCTTGTTTTAAGAAGTCTAATTTATAAGTAAAGTTTTTTCTTCTTAACTATTAAGATTATTAGGTAAAGTGTAAATAAAATACTAATAATACTAGTAAATATAATAAGTAATATAAGATAATATTAATAATTTAAATAGTATAAAGGTTAA